CAAGTGGTTGGCCCTAAAAAAAAATACATACAAGCAACAATAAACAGACTCATCGGGTTGTGTTGATGTATTTATGTGTGTATATGTACATAGAACAATAATAATTAAAGAAAAAGAGGCCATAAATCTGAGAGGGAGTGAGGAAAAAGATGTAAATAAATTTCCAATTTAAGATTCTTTAATAAAACTGGATTATTAAGAGGTATGTCAATTTTAGGGGACAGATGAAAAGAAAACACCCAACATCTCCAGATGGAAGCCTTTCTGAATTATGAACAGCAGATAAAGTCATCACTCTCCTTGTCATAAAAGTCAATTTTGTGATTTCTAGGATCAAAACAAGAGTGACCACAGCTACTTCTCATAGGTAAGCTGTCAATCTTTTGGTCACCTAGTTCTTTCTTCACCCTGCAGGCTGCTGGACAGGCCATCCTGGCCCAAGTTAGACACCTGAAGCACCAGTGGACACATGGACAGCCCTAGAAGAGTTGGAGCCCAAGATTGGGGCTCCAACTTGTTCTGTGCCTCCCCTTAACATCTTTAAGAGCAGTTGTCCCTTCTCTGAATCAAGAGAAAAAGAAGTTTTTGATTAGTGCCCCCTCAGTCATCTGATAAAAGGATTTCTCCCCAAAGTTCTGCTCTGTCTGGTATTGTCTGTAAGAAACCACTCAGTTAAGATTTTCACAACAAGGTGTTATTAGTACACAGTTCATGGTTTCAGAGTTTGAAGGGCCCTCCTCGGTAAAAATGTTCATACAAATCAGAGGCCCAAATCCCTTTGCAATCATTTTGTTCTTTAACTATACTTTATTGCTGAGTGTTTAAGACAATAGAGGTAGTCAATAATTAACTTTTTTTGTTACTAAAAACCAATAAAAAAAATCTAATAAGAGTTATTTTCAGGGACCTAGGAGCCATTGTTCTTTTCCCAAGTATACCATCTGCTGGGACGGGTCAGGGTCTTTCTATGTGACTTCCTTTGGAAGCACAGGGAACGTTCTCCTCCATTGACTTTCTTCTATACAGGATGTACCCTGGTTAGAGTCTAGTCTTGGGGTTCCTCATGGCCTCTCTGATCAAAAGCACATGATTTATCAGAGTTGAGGTCTTTCGGAAGGATCCCATTGGTCCCTGATTCTTAATTAATCTTGAAGGGCAAGGACCAAGTACTGACCGCCATTTTAGGCCCTCTGTCCTCTTAGGCCTCCAAACTCTGGGAAATACCCAAAAAGACAGTTTCACCCATCTTTTAGTTTTAATTTTTGTGCAACATTTCAACAAAACCTGAACCAAAACAAATTATGGCTTTCTTATTGTTTGGTTTCACACAGAGTTAAAAGACTGGGTTTTGTGATGGGACAGTCTGTTGTGTGTGAGGGGACCCTATCTTTGAGTCATAAGGGAATGTTGAGATAAAAATATTAATTTCCTGGAGGAGTTGACAGTGCAGACCCCAGAGGAGTGTGTTCCTCATTGTTCTATCTAGGAGAAGATGCCTTCATATAGAATCCTTTCTAAAATCACTGAAAAAGTTTTATTGACCAATTGATGGCACCCTGAGGAAACACCACTAATATCCAACTCCAATGCACACATAGGCTCCGCCATCTGTTCACTACTGTACAATAGTGCCCCAGGGAGAACCTATAACAGGCATCTGAAATACATTTCCAGAGAAAATATCACAGAGTACCCTGAGAGTCACAAAATTCAAGTCAACAACTTCCACCCAAGTTAATTATAAAAAATAATTTAAAAAACCACTTTAGATATTTGAAAAACAAAACTGAAGAAGAGCAATGAAAAAAGTTCCAACCCCTTGGGGGTTTTTAGTTTGCCAATTATTGTTAGGGTTCCAGACCAACCTATCCCCGAAGTAGGACAATCAACGATTCTGGTCCCTAAAGAAGGCACTTAAGACCATGTATCCATCCAACTCCTGTCCTTCATTGTCCCCATGGCTTCCAGTTGCATAGACTAACACTGTGAGGCAAACCCTAACACCCTGAAGAGAATGCTTCCTACATCCCTCAAGAAAACAGGATGGTTTTACATCACCACTCTGTGCTATGTCAATCCTGCTGTAAAATTCTGTCCCAAGCTGACGATGCGCTTCTGTCTTCCAGCAGACCCTCCAGCTTCCAATAGGAAGCCCTTGCAGATGTGCACCTTATACCCTCCGAATGTTCCAGCACCTTCTGCATCAGGTGACCATAGCACACCTGTTGGGTGTTGATCACAACTTAGCAACTTATAGGGCTCTTGGCATGATCACTGCTTATGGTGTGACAGCCAGAAATCAAGAGGTCCACATGACAAAGTCCTTGGTCAAGTGCCATTTGAAAGAAAGACAGAAGAAAACAAAATGTAGGGCAGAGCCTTAGCAGGTAGTTAGGCCAGGTTTGATCAGGACACCTTCTAGTAACACCTGCTGCCGCTCCTGCCAGAAACCTTCAGTTTCTTCAGAACCTCACCTCAGCCCTTCATGATGAGCAGCAGATCTCCATGAAAGGAAAGTAAGGGGAAACAAGACCAACATTCCTAGCAGAGGGATGATCGGGCTCACTTCAGCAAGCCTGACCTCTGACCCTGGAGACTGACAGCTGTGCTCATCACTTTGGAGTAGTTTACAGAGTCCAAAGTTACAGAGTCCTGGTTTTTTGTTCTAAAGAACTACAGTGAAATATAGGTGCTCCAAACAACAGAAGCATGGTGAAGTCCACTCTTCTCAGCATTCCAAAAGTGTTCTGTGGATTGCAATGATTCCTGTTGACTTCCCATAGGTTCCCCCTTTCATTTCTGTTGCATTCCCAGCCAATACATCAGCTGAGATGATTACTTCTCCAGCCTTGTGTTGTGGACTTGTACATCCTCCAAGAATGAAGTAAATAGACAGCAAATGGGAAACTATGAAACTTTATTTGCCATGTTGAAATGAAAAATTCTAAGAGGAAAATGAAAAACTCAAGTAGAGCAGTGGATGCTCTGAGATCCCTGGTGGCAGCAGGATGCTAAACAAGATTTGATGTGAGTGCCACAGCTCTATGCTCTCAACAAGCTTCAGGTGCCTAGCCCAGAAGTTACAAATGTTACAGCCCCATGCTCTCAACAGTCTTCAGGGGGACAGCCAAAAGACTGTTGGCAAGTACTACAGTCGGAAAGCTCTTGGAGGGCTTCGGGGTGCTAACCAACATCAATCCCTGGCAGAGCAGTTCTGCTCAGTGCTCACTGACAGGGGTAGCAGGAGTAGTATATCTGTCCCGTGCAGGTCTCCAAGGCTGGGGTTGCAAATTTCCACAGGTGTGAAGCTGTGTGTCTTGAAGGCTGCAAATAGCTACAGGAATGAATTCCCTTCTGCTGCCAAAAACGTGGAGCCTTGGAGGCTGAGGAGGCAATGAGTCTCCTCAGCTGCAGTTAGAGTCCTGGAGGCTGGTCTGAGCAACTTCCCTGCCTGGGACAGAAGCCTCCAGTGTGGCCAGTCTGCCTCCTCCTCAACAATCCTTAAAGGCAACCATTGATTGCCTGTAACTCTTCATTTGGGGAGAGTCTTATGAAGTTTCCCCATCCATGATAGCATGTCGACTGGTGTTATTAGTATGCAGGTCTTGTTTGGGCAAACATATTGCTGATATTTTATGGGTGTGGCTTCCCTGTCTTGTCTAGGCAACACGGTCCAGCAGCATGCATCCTGGTCCTCTGATCTTCCACTGTTTACCTCCTCTTTCACAATAGTCCCTGAGCCTTAGGTGTAGGGGTTTCATTGTAGGCACACCAATTAAGGTTGAGCACCCCACGTTCATTTATTCTTTGCATTTGGACTAGCTGTAGATGTCTGTAACAGTTTCCATGTGCTGCAAAAAAAAAAAAAAGCATCTTTGATGAGGGGTAAGAGCTGAACCATCTGTGGGTATAAGGATAAGTGTTTAGGATGTATCCAGAAGTTATATCCATTGAGAAAAATGACAGTGGTAGGGTCTCTTCTGGGTCCATGACCTCGTTAGCCACTGGTTAGTGACTCCATTCTCAGTACCAGGCATGACTTTCCTTCTGTTAAACAGGTTCTAAGTCCAGTAAGACACAGCCAGGGCTTTTGTTTTTGTTTTTGTTTTTTGCATCATTCCCAGAAGCTGGTTCACTGACTGCTGGATGGTGACAGTGGACTGTCAATGAGCAGGCTACTGGAAGGGACTCCTTGCCCTTGGGGTTCTGGGGTCATTTCTGCCTGTGTCATATTTGTGCTTGTTTCCTTATGATAAACTCTCAGGTGTGGGATACCTAGTAAAGAGAGTGTGTGTTCTTCTGATATATGGTCTGTGGTGGTATTCTAATTGTACTGAAATGTGATTTTGATTGTATGTTAATAAATAAAGTTGCCCAGGGGTCAGAGCTATTAGAGCCATAGACAGAGTGTGGCGGTGGTGGCACACGCCTTTAATCCCATAGATCTCTGTGTGTTCAGGGATACAGCCAGCATTGGAGACATATGCCTTTAAGACCTAGGGAGCTGTACATTCAGACAGTGACGAGGCAGTCATGTGTTTGGGTTTACAACCAATGAGAAGGCAGAACAACATACTATAAAAAACAAAACAAAACAAAACAAAACAAAAAAAAAAACGAACAGACAGGATATAGCTCTCTTTTCGAGAAGCTGGGACACAGAGGAGGAAGGGTGAGATTTTAGCTCTGAGCTCTGACCTCTTGGCTTTCTCTTTTACATTGTTTCTGTGTTTCTTATTTAACAAGACAGTTGGTTACATCTACAATGGTCTCTAGCAGATATGGACAATCCATCCATTTTAAACCATATATGTATATATGGAATCATAATATCCTGGCTACTATACAGCCTCCTCTCATCAGCTCTGCACCTACAAGTGAGCTCAGTACATCATTGCAAAAGAAGTCTGAGTGAGGTCATGTGGGAAGTGTTGAAATGATGGCAATTCCATGGTTAAAACAAAAGTGGAAGGGGAGAAAGTGGAGGGAAGGGTTGAGTATAAAGGCACAGAGCTGGTAAAGGCACCCAGCCAGCAGCTGCTCCTGCAGGTCACTCCTCAGCCGGAGCTCCCCCTCCAGCACAGCAGGATGCTCAAGGTATTGTAACCCTGGCTGTAGCTTGCCTAAATTGCTTTTCTGGTTTGATTCTTCCTTTCTCGATTGGTTGGTCTTTTAGCAGCTATCTGCTCTGCTGCAGAAATGACATTTTAACTTTTCTCGGAGCCTCTGGGCTGCCTCATAAGCTGCGTGTTCGTTCACATCAGTGTTTGACAAATGAGAGACATGATCCCATCGCTTCCTCCTAGCAAGAAAGTCTGTCATTGTAAGTTCACTGAATCTCCACCTCTTGCTTTTATATGTGCCCTCTGTGTGATACAAACAGATTGCATCTCTAATTATCTGTTTGCTGCCACGGTCCCTGTCATCTCCTGGTAAGCTTTTTGAGTCAGAAAGCCTCACTTACTGGTTTGGCAGTTTAGAGAGGTATGCATCATGAGTTCACAGGGGCTCCTGACATTTGCTACTAAGTGACTCCATTCTCTGCTTTAATCTATACATTAGTCACAGTGTTTCACTAAAAAGATATGCAAATGCCACCATAAAGTCAAGTACACCAGCAAGACATTTGACATATAGATGAAGTATGACTCAGAGAACTGAGCAGCAGTGATTATTCCCCTCACAATCTCTCCCTTCAAGGTCAGGGAAGGTGATTTGTTCTTCAGCTCACTGATCATATTCAGCACCATCAGGGAAGCCCACTGGTCTCAGAGTCATAAGTTACATGAGCATGGCCTTCTAATGCTATCCCCACACCTTGGGTTCTATGCTGGTGCCCCCCACCTGCTATTCAGCCATCCAGTGTTCAACTAGTACTTGGAAATTAAGTCAGAAGATTTTGTTTGTTTGTTTGTTTGTTTAGAGACAGGGTTTCTCTGTGTAGCTTTGTGCCTTTCCTGGATCTCGCTCTGTACACCAGGCTGGTCTTGAACTCACATAGATCTGCCTGCTTCTGCCTCCCAAGTGCTGGGATTAAAGGCGTGTGCCACCACCGCCTGGCAAGTTAGAAGATTATTAAGTCAGTTCTTCCCCCTATTTCCCTCTCTCTTCTGCATGTAAAATGTTTATCAAAATATTTGCCAGCCTGGAAAGCAGTATTTCCTCTGCCCTAACCAGAAACATCCATCGCAGTATCTTTTTGTTCTCCTGGCCATCTCCTCTCCTGCTTTCTCCTATTCCAACTCCCTTTATTTTCTATCAAAGTTTCAAGATGCAACAAATACTCCATTCTTTTTAAAATGACAGTCTTTATCTGACCGATAAATCTGAAGATTCTAAGAATGGGTTAGGCAAGCTTGTGGGAACTCACGAACTTTAGACCAACAGTTTTGGAGCCTGCATGATACCAGACTAGGCCCTCTGTTTAAGGGAGACAGTTGTGTAGCTGGATCTGTTTGAGGGCCCCTGGCAGTGGGATCAGGATCTATCCCTGGTGCATGAGCTGGCTTTCTGGAGCCCACTACCTATGATCAGATGCCTTGCCCACACTTGTTGCAGTGGGAGAGGCTTGGTCCTCTCTCAACTGAATGTACCAGGCTTTGCTGGCTCCCCATTGGAGCCCTTACTCTTTTGGAGGAGGGGATGGAGTTGGGGAAGGCTAGGAGAGAGTGGGAGGAAGGATGAGAGAGAGTTGGTACACAAAATGAATAAAAATATTTTTTAAATAAAAAAAAAGAAGGGGGTTAGGGCTGAGGCAGGAGGATTGTCACAAGTTCAAGGTCAACCTGAGCTAGAGAGTGAGTCAAAGCTAGCCAGGGCCACATAGAAAGACCCTGCCTCAGAAAAAAAGACTAGTGGGTTGCAAAGGTGGAAGATTCCCACGTAGGCACTGGCTCTGTTCTATGACTCTGCTTTGACAGTGAGTTCCATGTGAGAGACACTTCCGATTCTTTAACCTGGTAAGTCCTCCAGCTACCATTTGTAAACAAAGAAAAGGAAGTGAAGCAATAATGTGATCATGAGATGAGGAAAGGGAAACTACTGAAGAGTTTATTACAAGAACTCAGTGCTAGGCATGTGGTGACCTACCCTTCCAGTTGGATATTTTAAAATTTATTCTCCTGTGAAGGCATGTAGAAACAAAAGGATTACCTGTGCATTGAAGGGCTTGACAGTTAAAGGAACTGCAAAGTCCTCTACTACCACTTAAGAAACACAAATCAGGGGTTGGGGATTTAGCTCAGTGGTAGAGCGCTTGCCTAGCAAGCACAAAGCCCTGGGTTCGGTCCTCAGCTCTGGAAAAAAAGAAAGAAAGAAGAAAGAAAGAGAGAGAGAGAGAGAGAGAGAGAGAGAGAGAGAGAGAGAGAGGGAGAGAGAGAAAGAAAGAAAGAGAGAAAGAAAGAGAGAAAGAAAGAGAGAAAGAAAGAGAGAAAGAAAGAGAGAAAGAAAGAAAGAAAAATCATCCTGCCCTGGGGGGTTGTATCTGGTTTATGAGCAGAGGCAGAACTCCTTCTACATACACTGATCACATAGCACAATATCCTTCCAGCCCCCTTCCCACCTCCTCCATCTGGTTCTGCCAGGCTTCCCTTCACCGTCCTCATCATGCCCGGTCGTCTTTATCAGTGTGACTGGGCAAAGAACTTAACAATTGCATATTTCCACACCCTCATGCCTAATGAAATGGGTGCCTAGAACACAAATTCAATCACATCAACCAAGTTTCTTCTCACAGAGCAAAACTCTTTACCTCAAGGTCTCTTAGCACAAGAAGTGAGTGGATTCAGAGCGATGCACTATTCTAACCTGCTTCTCTCTGTAGTCTGTCACAGAAAGCTTCGCCAGCATGATTCACGGCTTGAAAGTGGACCATCTGACAGATGGTGTCATTCAGAGGAGCAAGAGGATGATCCTGGATTCTCTGGGCGTTGGTTTCCTGGGAACAGGCACAGAAGTATTTCACAAAGTCACCCAATATAGTAAAGTAAGAAGTCCAAAGTTTGCTTTCAAGATTAAAAACAAGCGTGTGCACAAGCATACATAGAAGTCTGTGCCTGTGTTCAACTTAGTTTGGTTGCATTTGATATGGATAGCATTGTTCCGTACATTTTTATGAGTCCCTCTGTTTCATGATATGATTTTTAAAGCCCATTCCTATCCATTACAAATTCAGGCCTAAAAACCATTCACTGGTAATACCTCACAGCTGTTCACTTGTATGACTAAAAGTACATTTCAACCCAAAAATCTTAGCAGTGAAAACATTTAACCACGGACAGCTTCTTCATGCAAATATTCTCTGGAGAAAAGTCTGTTCAAGTGCTCTGAGCACAAAGTAGGCATCGCCATGGGAGGCACAGCTACTCTCAGGGGGACTTACATGCTGTAGCCAGCTAGTCTGCCCCATCTTATCTCCCACGCCCAGTATTTACCCCAAGATCAAGTAAGAGTGGAGTCAGACTCACTTGAATGGAGTTTCTAGATCATGACTTGGGGATAAGCAGATGCATGCCTCTCCCTTACAAGACCAATGTGTATTCCTCAGCAAGGAAGAGAGCCCACCAGCTAGCTGCTGTCTCAGGGGTTCGGAGAGGCCTGATGTCAGGATGCCTTGAGGATGAAGGGGAACTCTTGAAGTGTCAGCTCAGTGTATTGTTGGGTTAACTGACTTTCCTCTGTTCCAGATCTACAGTTCCAACACCTCCAGCACTGTTTGGGGTCGACCGGACTTCAGGCTCCCACCCACATATGCTGCTTTTGTTAACGGCGTCGCTGTAAGAAAGTTTACCAGCCTTTTCCACAATTAAATCATTAAATCATAAATTCAAGACAGGAAAATTATTCACAAATGAGATCACTGGGGTTCAGAGATCTGACATGCCTGCCCTTACTCCTCATGTTCATGTTTCTACAGTAAAATGGAACTTTTCCAACAAGTTATAAAGTAGAAATAGTAGAAGGCTCTAGACTAAAAGCACCTGTAAGATATTCTAATTCTGGACCTTGAATGGATATAGCAAAAATGCATGATATGTATGCACTCCAAGATCCAGATACAATGCCTTCTTGGTCGCTTCTGTTGCGGGTCCCAGTATCTGTACAGTAATGTGCTCTTCATTTAGTGATTTGGGTATTTATTCAGAAAGAGACAATGACCACACAGTATCTCTATTTTCTCGATGAAAAAATTAGGACTTCTCATCTGACAGATAAGTTTCAAATTATTTCCTGTGTGTCAGGGAAAGTCCACAAGACATAATATAGATATACACATGCTGGGCTTCGAGAGCTGTGTTAACTGGTCTGGGAGGACAGCAGCTCAGACTAACCAAGCAAAGCCCACTGACATGGCAATAAGAAACACACAAGCCACACCAGATAGACACAAAACCTATTTTAATGAACTTCTGGTTATTCCTAACTGTTTCATATATGGAAAAATTAGATGGTTGAGATGAAAAGGGAAGAAAACCTCAGGGCATAAACCAACCGTCTGAAAATACAGTTTAATAGCTAGTTAATGGAGGTTTGTGAGCTCTTTGCTGTCCTTGCAACTGTGACAAAACTTTTAAATGACTTCATGACAGAGACACAAAAATACGTGGCCCAATCTATAATAAATGACATTAAATTTTTGGTGTGACTTGTTTAAAGGGAGAAGGGCAGGGAAGCCTTGTGAGGGAGAATGTAGATCTCCCCAGGAGCTGTGGTCTCCAGGGCAGAACTCAGCATCCTCCAGGAAACCACTGGCTCCTCTCCGAGGTCCTGCCTTCCTCTGACAAAGGAGCAGGGACCACTGTCACCCCACCATGCGGTTAAGAGTCACAGCCAGTTGTTGCTGGGCATGGGGCCTACCTTCAGTGTGGTTAATGTGCCTGGTGAGACGCCATGGGAAAAAACTAGTTTTTCCTTTGCAAACGATGTTAATTTGTATTTCTTGTTCTACTTTTCTTTTGTAAATTCTAGTTTGATATTTTTTTGTGTCTGTTTGTCTGCCTGTTTATTTCCTAAAGAGAGAGAGAAAGAAAAGGCATGGAGTTGGGTGGGTGGGGAGGTGGGGAGGACCTGGAAGGAGTTGGGAGAGGGGAAACCACGATCAAAACATATGGTATGATTTTTTAATTAAAAAATATTTAATTAATTAATTTTTTTAAAAAAAGAATCGGTTCATTTTTAGGGTGTAATGTCAGGTAATGGGGTTCCTAAACCTCTCAAGGTCATTGCTAATTAAATGCTTATCCAGTCCAAAAGCCAGTGCATTTAAGGGCATTTTTGAGGGGGTTTGTTTGTGTCTATTCATACAGGTTCACTCCATGGATTTTGATGACACGTGGCACCCTGCCACCCACCCTTCTGGGGCTGTCCTACCAGTCCTCACAGCTTTATCGGAAGCCTTGCCTCAGACTCCGAAGTTTTCTGGCCTTGACCTGCTGCTGGCATTCAATGTTGGTATTGAAGTACAAGGACGATTAATGCACTTCTCCACGGAAGCCAAGGACATACCCAAGAGGTATAGTGAGAGACTGTGCCATCAGGGAGAGCCACACTGCCCTCTGTCTGTCAGAGGCTGTCGGTGCAGAGCTGTCTGGCTTAGAAGCTGGCTCTGCTGCTGTTATTACTGCTGCAAGGTAGACCATTTTTCAGCCACGGAACAAGCCCTATGGCGATACAGAAAGATTTGGAAACGGTTATGAAAACATCCTTTGGGCTTGTCAAGTCAATTTAGTTACTAAGACCATGAGATAACTTGGAGGTCTGTCACTCCGAGGTGATTCCTGTCACTTGCATCCAGGAGTATTCTGGGTATCACAGGATTCCCCTCAAGCTGGAGTTACAAGCAGTTGTGAGCCACGAGTTGTAAGGCTTGGCTTGGAACTCAAGTTGAGTTCTCTGCAAGAGCAGTACGTGCTCTTAAGTGCTGGACCATCTCTCCAGCCTCTATAATTTTTTTGTGAATTGCATTTTTGTTCTCTGAAAGTTTCATAATTTACTCACTGTACATTGATCATATCCTCTGTCCAATTATCCCTTGTGTCCCCCACTTCATCTTTTTCCCAGCTGAACATCTTTTTCATTTTTTTATTAGTAACCCTGAGTCCAATTAGTGCTACCCATATACACGTGGGTGGGTGATCACACACTAGGGCCACATCCTCTCCCCCACCTCAGCAGTCATCAACTGCAGTGTTTCCTCCCATGGGAGTGGGGCCTATTGCCCCTTCCCCCATTGATGTGGAACTTTGACTGGCTTGATCTTGTACAGGTCTTGTGAAAGTAACCTGCTGTGAGTTGGTGTGTACGATAGACATGTCGTGTCTAGAAGTCAGTATTCTACAGCTCTCTTCCCATCTGCCAGCTCTTATATTATTTGTTCCCCCTCTTCTTTGAAGTTCCTGGGCCTTGGACAGGGGGAAGTTGGTATAGATGGGTAACCCATCAACTGCTGAGTACTCAGAGCTATTTACGATCAGCACTTTGACCAGCTGTGAGTCTCTGCATTAACCACTGCCTACGGGGGGAAAAAAAAGAGCTTCTCTGATAGCAGCAGAAATTTATAGGTGCTGCTATATTAGAACTATTTAGAATGCAGTTTAACAGTATGGACCATTTTGCAAAACAACAGTAGATTCCAAGCCACTGCCCTTCCCCAGGACCATGATCTCCCCAGTCATGAGCTTTGGCCAGGTTTACAATACCGGGCATAAAATCTATCCTGTGCAGCAGACCTCAAACCCCATCAGGAAGGAGTCGGCTACTCCCACGATTTCCCTGCCACTATTGCATCAGTGGGTACATCTTGCCAGCAGATCACTTAGTGGTGTGGCATGCGATGTCCAGTGCTGGGTCTGGATGTCTTTTTCTCCCAGCAGCCTAAGTAGCACCTTCTACTAGCTACCTGGCAGAGAGAGAGAGAGAGAGAGAGAGAGAGAGAGAGAGAGAGAGAGAGAGAGAGAGAGAGAGTGTTTCCTGGTCAGTTTGAGGTTGATTTCTCTGTGTCCTGCATTCAAAGTGAGTGATGTCTTCAGCTATAGGGTCTTACACTATGGTGACTATTGGTAACCAAGAGCAACAGCATTAGCTTGCGTTGTTTTGGGTCCTTTTGTGGACCAGCAATTCATAGGGAGGTCACCCTTGCCTGACAGAGATTTTCATTTATTAACCCATGTCTTCTGGGAGAAGCATTGCCTGCCTATGCAGAGTACTTCTGTTAAACCTCCCTTTATAAACATTGTGTATTTTAATTAGCTTACAAAGTAGTGGGTCCTAATAAGGCTTCCTCACGTATCCTTAGTTTGGGCTAAAGCAGCCCCTGCTTTTTCCACTCAATCCCTTGTATCCCCGTGTCAACTTTTAACCTGACATTCCCCAACTCTTTTCATGTCCCTTGATTTCTCCTGTCCTCTCTAATGGGCTGTTTTCCTTGGGCTGGAGGACTGTAGGCGTCCATATAGCTTTCTCATGCCCCCTTCTTTTTGATTAACTCTTCTACTAACATCTCACTTCCCCACTCCTCATGGCCTCCATGTTTGAAATTTTCCAACCCCTGCAGCTCCCTCTCTACTTTCATTGTATCTGTATTTTACTATCCCCTCTCCCTTAAGGTATTCATATCAATGGCCTGTTTCCAGGATTCTGGCTTCTACATACACCCCAGGTTAAACACATTAACCAAGAGATCCACATATAAGAGATAATATGCAGCATTTGTCTTTCTGGGCCTGCCTGACCTCACTCAATATAATTTTCTCCACTTCCATCCATTTACCTGCAAATTTCATGATTTTGTTCCCATTGTCTATATGTACCACATTTTCCTAATCCATCCCCCCATCAGTTGAATGTCCTGCTTTTTCCTTTCAGGTTCCATCCTCCCTCTGTGGTAGGGACTTTGGGAAGTGCTGCTGCTGCATCCAAGTTTTTAGGGCTCAGCTTGACAAAGTGCCGAGAGGCCCTGGCTATTGCTGTTTCTCATGCTGGGGCCCCCATAGCAAATGCTGCCACTCAGACCAAGCCCCTTCACATCGGCAATGCAGCCAAGCATGGGATGGAAGCCGCGTTCCTGGCAATGCTGGGTCTCCAAGGAAACAAGCAGATCTTGGACCTGGGGTCAGGGTTCGGTGCCTTCTATGCCAACTACTCCCCCAAAGGTCTTCCAAGCCTGGATTCTCACATCTGGCTGCTGGATCAGCAAGATGTGGCCTTCAAGAGCTTCCCGGCGCATCTGGCTACCCACTGGGTGGCAGATGCAGCTGCAGCTGTGAGAAAGCACCTCGTGGTTTCAGAAAGAGCCCCGCTTCCTACTGACCACATCGACAGAATTGTGCTCAGGATCCCCGATGTCCAGTATGTAAACAGGCCCTTCCCAGACTCCGAGCATGAAGCTCGCCATTCCTTCCAGTACGTGGCCTGCGCCATGCTGCTCGATGGCAGTGTCGCTGTCCCGTCCTTCCACAGCCAGCAGATCAATAGGCCAGAGGTGAGAGAGCTGCTCGAGAAAGTGGAGCTGGAACACCGTCCTGACAACCTGCCAAGCTTTAACACACTGTACTGTGAGATAAGCGTCACTCTTAAGGATGGCACCACCTTCACGGAGCGCTCTGATACCTTCTATGGTCACTGGAGGAAACCACTGAGCCAGGAGGACTTGCAGAAGAAGTTCCGAGCCAACGCCTCGAAGGTGCTGTCTCGGGACACAGTGGAGAGCCTCATAAGGGTAGTAGGAAACCTAGAAAACCTAGAAGACTGTTCCACATTAACCACACTTCTGAAAGGACCTTCTGTCCAAGAGGAAGCCTCAAAACTATCCCACATGTTCTCCTTCCATCACACAACTTTGCACTAGAGGAGATTCAATTGTTTGCTTTATTGCCCCATCCACCCAGCAATGAACAGAGCAAAGTAGAGAGTCCATAAACAGATAAGTGTATTTGGAAGGAGTCTTGTCCTACAAGCTTAATAGGGCCATTCCTGCTACCTTCGAGATAATATTCAAGAAACAAACAACACACAACCTTCTGTGTATTCCCAAGGGTAAAGTCTAAGACCCTGTGATCTGCTTATAATCTTTTCTGAGTAATTATTTATTAACTCTGGGAACTCCACACATGCTGCTGGCTGCAGGTGGAGCAAGCTCTGGTCTGGGTCCCCGCCTATCCAGAGAGGACGGGTAGTGCCCAACCCTCCTGTCTGCAATGGCTGGGTTGAGAGATCGGCGGGTTTAACATTGCTTCCTTCTTTCCACACATAGCCCTGAGTATGGAGCCAAGATTCTTCTGCTTCAGGGCCTCTACTGAAGACATAAAAGACAGTCTGGGATGGGGTAGGACAGTTTGACTTAGGACCCCCAGTCTCACTCTTTACAACAGATAATGATAATAATCTGTTAGCTCAAAAAAATTGGACAGATGACAAGTCAGAGATACAATAAAAATGAAAAGGGAAAAAGATGTAAATGTGTGAGTAATGGAAATATTAACTATAAAACATAGAAATGCCACATTAGCAACCATGATACATATGTTCTGAATTCCTGGTGTTTTCAAGAAAAGAATGGGACTTTTAGCTCCGGATGTTGACTTTCAAGCATCGATGTGGAAATGTGTTGGGCGACTGTTTGAGAACGTCAGCAGAATATATCACTTCCCAGTTCATAGGAGGAGAAAAATGTAATTAGAAAAATGATAATCCAAGGGAAGCAAAGAAAGAAGGGGAAAAGAAATACAAAGAAAACAAGATGTTTGGAAATCACCATATAAAATGATAGAGTATAACTACAATTCAGAAAAAAAGGAATAATAAATGTTCCAGCTAGGCAAAACCAAGATTGTTAGAGCATGCTTTCTTTTTAAAAAATGCTTAGCAGTTTTATTGATGTCTTATTAATCATCCACTTGAAGTATACAGAGCATTAGTAAATTTGTGCTATCACTGCCATAATTGAGTTTTGGAATACTATCATTACCACTAAAAAAATCCTTCACATCTATTTGACATAAAGCCCCATGCCCACCTCCAATATTTAGCCCAATATGAGCTTTTCAAATACAGTTTTGTCTTTTCAATACACCTCATACAAACGGGGCCCTACAACAGTTAGTCACCCGTGCCTGTTTTCTATTACCTAATTAAATGGTTTGGAGCATCTGCCGCTTGCGGATCAGTACTTTAATCCCTTCATTGCTGGGGATCATTATAAGGTCTATGACAGCTTGTGTTGGGAGACCTCTTCAGGGAGGATGGATAAATAGAAGCCTATCATTTAATTTAACACATGATAGTGAGGACTTAACACATGCCAAGGACTGTCCCTAGTACAGGTGACAGGACAATCAACGAAACAGTTCTGACCTCCTGTTCTCATGTGCTTGCAATATGATTGGACAAGGAGCCGCCTTTGTGCCTGTTCTGGCCAGGCTCCACTTCCTGTTTTCAGGTCCTGGTGTGCTTGCCAGCTTCCGGGGGCTGAGTTGTGGTCAGGGTCCAAACTAGGAGAGCCTTCCCTAATGCAATTAAAAATAATAATTCCTGGGCTGTGATACAACCTGGGAAACCTTGGAAATGTGGCTTCCGTGTCAATTCAAACAGAATCCAGCATAGAGCAAGGCTAAAGGGGACTCCAAGTATGGGAGAAGTTAGCATTCCTTCCAGTGGATGTTGCAAGTATGTGCAACTATGTGCACATACATGTTTGGAGTCCTTTCCCACCAACAGAAACCCACCCACACCTGCATGTGTTGGGAATCTTTTTGAATCCTTTAGAACATGATTTTTTTTTTCATTCTGTCTTCAGCTCTATGTGAAAATGGAAGAATAGAGGGTGGTTGGTGACTCATTGGATGAAGTCGTCACCATCTAGACTGAGGATCTTTGTTCATAGCTCCAGTGTCCACAGGAAAAGCCAGGCATGCTGGCTTGCACTTATATTCCCAGCACTGCAGAGGCAGAGACAGAAGGATCATGGGAGCTCACAGGCCAGCCCGTTTAACCAAACCAGCGAGCTCCAGGTTCAGTGAAATATCCTGTCTCAAAAATAAGATAGAGAACAATAGAGGACCCCAACATCAATCTCTGACCTCCACACATGTACACACACACACACAACAAATACACAGACAGGCAGACAGACAGAAAAAAGAAAACAGCACATGAATAGTTGACAAAAAGTAAGAATTCAGTATTTCCAAACCAGTTGAGTGTTTTACCAGCAACTAGTCCAGTGCCTGCTACACCCTGAGCATCAACTGTTTCTAGCTGCAGAGCATGTCAAAACAATGTGTGATATATAACTTCTAAAACTGCCCTGGCTTCATGTGAACCTTAAAGAACTCAAGGTAACTAAAATGAGTTTAGCCTTCTAGTTCATTCACAAATGCAAAAGTTTGCATCCCCCCCTCATGTAAATTCTCCCAGATTTTTATTGGAGCTCATATCACAGAGCAAGCACCAGTTACATCTGGCTCTGAGGAAGGAGCCCACCTGGAAGTCCAGATGAGCCAGGAGCCCATCTGTTTCAAATGTGACATGGCAGTGTTGCTTTTGCTTTAAAAAAATGAAAATTCAAAATGAAGCATGCTCATGCAGAAAATGCATGGACTGAATAACTTAATGATGGGTACCCAGATATGACTGAGATCATATTGGAAGTGGCTATCAAGCTATAGAGTGTGCAGTTCATTTGGTCAGAGATAAAATATTTTTACTTCAACAAATTGTTGTAGTCATCTCCTCTAGGGCATCACTTTCTAAACTCGCTATACATTCTAAGCACCCCCCTTCTTCCTGGCTCACTAAAAACATTATGCCAAAGGGTCGTGCCATGAATACACATCAGTTCCGCGTCATTGGCCGTATCCCTCTGGGGCTCACTTTCATCTTTAATTCCACCCAGGATCCTTGACCCATCAGAAGAGAGCAGTCTGAGTGAAGGGTTCTTGGGCATCTGGCAGTGTGATGGTGAGAAGGATTAAACTACTCAACTCTCCGTCACTTCCCAGCACTGCCGTGTTCAGATCAGAAGCTCACAGATGCCACACACGTGATAACCATGTTCTAACCAAGCTTTCATTTAAATATCCGCCTAACAAGGAAAATTAAGACTAAAGTTATGGGCATCGAGGAGAGATAGTTAAAGCAACCACAATTTATTTTATACAAAAGAACTACTACATTGAATTTTTTTTCTTATGGAGAAAGCCAGTGTATTTTGAAAGAACACACCAGCTCTTATCACCTTGAAACACAGTTCATTGCCAGCCCTACCCCCAACCCTAAGACCAATCACTACACTCCAGCTCTGTAATAAAAGCTAACGGGTCATCCTGTCAGAGCAGCAGTTATACGTGGGGAGGACGGAAGAGCCAAAGTGCGGCAGAGCTTCTTACCTGTCAGGAAACTCAGCCCTCTGCCTCTCTGCAGACCTCTGTATCACTGTCCTGGCCGCTGAGGCTTCTCCAGCAGGAAATGGACAACTGCCAGGCCAGAGGATGCACAGCGACAGCCCAGGGCCTTCCTGGTACAGCCTTGGCAGCCAATGGCCTTCTAGACCACTCTAACCCCACCTGAAAAGACAGGAGGAGCCAGGGTTAATAAAGACAGCTGATGAGAATTTAGGCCTGATTTTTAGGCAAAAACCGAAGGGCTGTGATGGGATCACTACATTAGATTCACATACTGAGTCATCGCCCTGTGCTCCATAAATATGTAGGACTAAAGGAATAACAATTGGAGTGGGCTGGAGAGATGGCTCAGCAGTTAGGAGCACATGCTGTTCTTCCAGATGACCTAGGTTCCATTCCCAGGATCCACATGGCAGCTTACAGCTATCTGTAACTCCAGTTCCAAGGGATCTGACTCCATCTTCTGAATTCCTCAGACACTAGGCACACACGTGGTACATAGACATATGTGTAGGCAAGCATCCATACTCATAATTTTTTTAAAAAAGAATCAGAGTCTATATGGACAGTAACATGATTAGAATATAAGACATCATGTCTTTAATGTCTTCTGGAGCTGACAATAGCTTTGAATTAATCAATTCCCTTTTGTTTTAAAAGTCAATATGGAGGAGGCCTCAACCCTATACAAAGAACTATAGGCAGCTAAGGAATGATCAGGGGAGAGAGAGAGAGAGAGAGAGAGAGAGAGAGAGAGAGAGAGAGAGAGAAGAAAGAAAGAGAGAGAGAGAGAGAAGAGAGAAAGAGAGAGAGAGAGCCTTCTCCATGGAAAAGCACAAAAATTGGTTATTAAATGCCAAATGGTCGGCCCTGAAAACATGCAGGCAGACAACATTAAGTAGACAGAGCAGGTTATATTTAGGAAAACACATATGTATATACATACATACATACATACATACATACATACACACATACATACAATAATAATTAGTGAAAAAAAGAGAGCATGAATTTGAAGGAGAGTGGGGAGGAGTGTATGGGAGGGTCTGAAGGAAGGAAAGGCAAGTGAGAAATGTAGTTATATTATAATCTCAAAGATAAAAGTCAATACTTTAGTAAAGGCAGCACATAGTGAAGGATTGGGGACCGAGCATGACTTCAGTGAGTTCCGGTGCCAAGTGCACTCCACGACGTAAAGATCTCGGGAAACCTAAGCATAAAAAGAACAAGTTCTCGCCGGGCGTTGGTGGCGCACGCCTTTAATCTCAGCACTCGGGAGGCAGAGCCAGGTGGATCTCTGTGAGTTCGAGGCCAGCCTGGGCTACCAAGTGAGTTCCAGGAAAGGCGCAAAGCTACACAGAGAAACCCTGTCTCGAAAAACCAAAAAAAAAAAAAAGTTCTCATCAACAACACAAAATCCTGAAACCACAAGCTCTCAGCTATCCACAGCAACAGATGCTAAATGGTTCAAGTTTGGTACAAAGTAAAAACTATATTATTTTAAAAAATAAATAAAGGTTGTGGTAACTTCATATCCTGTAAGAAAAAAGAATTCTATGCGATAGAATAAAAAAAAAATTTTTTTTTTTGGTTGGGCTGGAGGGATAGCTCAGCCGTTAAAGGCTAGGCTCACAACCAAAAATATTTTTAAAGGTTGATTGTGAGGTGTACAGGATAGGCTGCCCTGTATACGAACGCAGGAGTCTAGACATCTGGCCCGCAGAACAGCAGTCTCTACGTAGTTTGCTCAGATCAACCCATTTGTGGTGGAGGGAAATCCTCAAAATGTCCCTAACAGGAAATCTCACTGGGCTCTCCCCCACCCCACCACCCACCTCTCTAGCTTCATGAGATTTAACACTGTATTTTAATCATAGTGTCTAGCAAGACTTCAAAGATGGGGTCCCGCTGGGCCTCCTCTTTTCCTTGCCCTTGAGAATCTCTCTTGGAAAACGGTCTCGCTTCCACATGCGGAGTACAGCACAAGAGACCCAAAGGCTCCGTGGCTGCCTCAGCAGCCCCAAGCTGGCGCTGAAGGCCTGGAGTTCCCTGCGGAGTCACCTCCGAAGTCCAAGGAAGCTGGGGTCCGGCAGAGGATGGCAACAGCAGCAACGGCGGACCCCTCCGCTCAGGAAAAGGGAAGGCAGGCCGGTGCATACATACACTCTGCTTTTCCCACAGACCTTGGGCGCCCCGCCTCGCTTGATCTCCCCTGGAAACGCCCTCACAGAGGTTTGTCTGCCAGGAGATCCTAAAAGTTTACAAAAGCAACTACCGACCACATAATGAGTTCCAGTTCTCTT